GCTTATTCTACTCCCCGTTCCTTTCTCTTATTACGTAGAGTGTTCGCCGTCAATCGACTTCCATTCCTGCACCATTCTATGAGGTGCACCTTCCTCCTCGATTCCCTTTGACCAGGCCCGACTTCCATGTTGTTGCGGGTAGCCAAAGCAGCCGGAGACGCGGCTGCCCTGCTAAGAAATAGCCATGGACAGACCACGGCGCATTGACGACCTTGCGGACGAATTGATCAGTCATATCCTCTCGTTTCTCTTGGGATCAGAGCCTTCCTCTAACGATACCTCCCCCACGAACAGCCATGGCTCCTACGTGCCCAATGGCAGCTGCGCGCATGGCGAAACGTCCGACTTGGACCGATTCAGGCTGGTGTGTACAAGATTCAAGCGAATCGCTACTCCATGGAAATTTCCCCGTTTCGTCCTTCGCTTCTCACGAGATGGGTTTCGGAGGTTAGAGGATCTTCTGGAAATGCAGCTGGCCTGCCATGTTAAATCCTTCACGTACATGGTGCGACCCTTTTACCAAGGAAGCGGTACCGTCTCTGCTAATTCGTTAAACTCGCACGGAAGTCAAGCTGATAAGTATCTAGACTGGCCCCGTGTCTTGAAAGCAGTCGAAACGCAAAACCTCGCAATTTCGCAAGTACATAAGAGTCGGCGTGAAGACCAGGAATACATCATCGCTGGGAGCTATGATATGCTACTCTTGCGCCGCGCTATATCTGCATTCTCATCTCTTCAGCAAATTAAACTGCTTCGCTTGCAAGATGGGGCGGACGAGCAATTGCTAGATTATATACGTGAGCAATCTTCAGCAGAAACCGTTTATCTGGACTGGGAGCCAGCTTGCACGCGGGCTATCACAAGTCTAGCGATTTCTCTGCTAGAGTCAAACTGCAGCGCTATTCGCTTCGTCGGGCCACAAATTAGCCCCGAGTCCGCAGTGAAACTATCACAGACACCTCCACTGATGCTATCCACCTTGGGTGCTCGATTAACGAGCTTAGATGTCACCTTTCATTCTTCTAGAGACATGACGAGCAGCATAAAATCTGTTTCTAGCGTCTTTCATGACTTCTTTCTATCCGCAAAGAACCTGACGTCAATAAAGTTAGGCTTTCGGGCCAACATGCCTCTCGATCTCTCGCTAGAACTCATTTTCCACCGCCTACAATGGAAGAGGCTCCAGGCTCTCAGCATTCAGGGTTGGCGTCTACATTCGGAAGAGGTAATCTCCCTGATCCGCCGACACAGGAGACAACTTCGTGATATCGCATTGACTGGCGTCTACCTGCGCAGTGGGGGCCGATGGCGGGATATACTGTCCGTCCTGCACGACGAAATGGATCAAGTAGAACGTATATATTTACGGGATATCGACTACGCAGACCATTTGGACTCGGTCTCACCAGATACCAATGGCCATGCCAGTACTTCCAGCACGTCGGTCCTCTCCATCGTCCCAGAACCTACACTCGCCCTACCTTACCAAGCCACTTTCAATGCTGATTACCCATATTTCTCTCCCTGCGGAAGTACCCGACGTTCATTTTCCGAGACAACCCTGGAGCAGTTGAGAGCACTCACGGCGGATGACCTAGGTGATAACGGAGTGAGCGTGAGACGCGAGCAGAGGTTGCTCTGGGAGGCGTGGGTACTCTCTAGCCCTAGAAACATGTTACGACGATGGCAATAGCATAATCACTGCTCTACGATGAGCAAAAGGTTGGGGAGGTAATGCTTTAGCTTTTCTGTATGCATCGCATCGTTTTCAAATAGTTCGAAGAAACACAGAGCTGTCCCAGGACAAGTCTGAAGATACATGAGAAGATTCAGGAGACCGATAGAAGCGTCATGCAATATCCTAGAGTTTCCACGATAACTGACCATCTTCGCTGCCAGTTATCGTCAGGTCTGCACACAACTTGATGACCAAATCAGCTAACAAGATCTGGCAAATTCTTTCTTAGATAAACCAACTTCAATTCATAATTTTACTCATCTACTTGTTGTATAGCTGCCGATGGATAAACGCCGGCCCATAACCTGAAGAACTGGTATTGTGCTTATTCAATAATCCTAACGGGTGGGGATGTACTATAAACAAAACCCCGCCGATGCAGAATGCAACACCCTAGCATTCATGTACTGGAAAAAAAAAAAAAAAAAAGGAACAATGAGAATTCTATACATTTCAATCAAGAACCTCTAAATTTTCATCGAGATCATGACAGGCAAGGTAAGGGGGTAACTGAAGCCAGAAGCCGAAACATCGCTATGGGAGGGGGAACTGGAAGGAGGCAAAAAAGTAGATGATATAAAAGCATCGCATAGGTAAGGATCTTGGTATCGGTGGCTATCAACCAGCTCCTGCGGACGGAGGGTTTTCTGGAGGAATAGATACGGGGCCGCTTGTACTCGCTGGTTTGGCGCTGCGTTCGCGCAATCGACGACCTTCCATGAGCCCGCGGAGGCCGCGCTTTTGTAGGCCGATGACACTGCTGAGGTCACCGGTCCAGATCTCGCGGTTGGGGCGGAGCTCGGCGTCTGTGTTGCGACGGCGGTGGGAGTGGGTGGTGTCGTCGGTGTCGGAGTGATCGAAGCTGGTGTTTGTGGAGGCGGATGTGGCGGTGCTGGCGGTGCTGATGGAGTCCTCGCGGTCGCGTTCGAGGTTGGTCGTGTTGCGCTGGCGGCGACTGAAGATGTTGGTGTTGATGCGGAGAGGGATGCCTCTGGAGCCGCTGGCCGCGCCGCTGGTGCTGCTTGCGACGGAGATGCCGGACGTGCCGTGTTCGGTGTCTGAGGAGTCCGACGTGAGGTGGCTGTGTGATGTATCTGTTCCTGTGCCGGCGACGGAGTCTGTGCTGCCGTGGACGCCGTTGAGGGCTTCCAGAGTACCTCCTGGTCCGCTGGTGAATCCGGTGCCTCTGCCGCCACCTGCAGCCATGGCAGCGGCATTGAAGACAGCGGCAGCGTTGCGTCCGTCGAGGACTTGATGTAGTCTTTCGACGGTGGCTTCCAGGAGACCATCCACTTGGTACGGTCGCGCAAGTTGGAGAAGGGAGCAGAGAATTTGGGGCGTGCAGAGGGAGGAACCCGCTGGTGGGAGAGCAGACGTGTAGAAGTAGTAGACGAGGACTTGAAGGGTGAGGTAGGTATGAGGCAAGTACAGCACGCGGGGTCTAGATGTGGGAGGTAAACTATGCGCAGAGGGTATCTCAAGATTCGCTAACAATGACTTGGAGGGGTTTGCATGATTGCTGACGAGAGTAGTGGCGTTGGAATAGGTGCTGTTCGGTCCGATGGACGGGGTGATCGTGATGCTGGAGTTACGGTTTGGATACATCTGGAGCGCTGGGCGCAGAGTGGCAGAGTCGGAGACCCCATTGTCAGAAGATTCTCGTAGAAGTTGGATAAAGTACGGTCCCCATCTTCTAGTCAAGATTCGTGAATTGACCGGGATGCGCTCGCCCCCCACCGCTTGAAGCTCCATGTCCGTCATCTCGGGGAGAGATTGGGCCAGTCTCCCCAGTTCGTCAGAGGCGGACGAGAATGGTCTTCCACCAGATGTTAATTTAGCCAACTTAGGATGAAGAGATGCGGGGACTGCAGGGGAGCTATGAGAGATGTACCCGGACGTCGGAGCTGTTCTGCACGGGTTATTGTAGAGGCCGAATGCTTCCAACTCGACCATGCACACGTGCGAGAAGTTGAGTCGTCGGTGGTTGTAATCCTCAACCAGACTACGCTTCCGATGGCCGAGAATCACGAACGTGTTCCTTCTCGCCCATAGTACTCCGCGGTTCCAGCTTCCCTGTCCGAAAACTGTTCCACCGGCATCGATACGGCCCCAGGTGAGCGTCTTCAGGTCAAGTGCCCACAGGGCGTATTCCTGCTTGGAGGAGGTAAGATACGTGCCACTGACCACAAAGTGTCCGTTGATAACGCCTCCGTTGGGGAACCTCAAGCCGGGGGGCGATGCTTGGTTCTGCATCGGCTTCTCAACCAAGCGGCCATCTGGTAAGCGCAGCTGAAGCTCTAGTTTAACATCTAGGAAGTTGTAGTTCGAATAGATCAGCATAGGGCATCCCTCTACTTGTGACTCCTCCATAGGCTCATGGGCTTCATTATCGATTGAAGCGGACCCGATGTCCGAAACATTCATACCGGCCAATGGGGCAACCACACTACGATAAGCGCCGCAACTTCTTCCTAAGGGACTTGTGTTGGTCCACTTCAGACTGCGAAGGTTGAACACGCTGATCTGCTCAATATAATGATTGGAGCTATCCTGCCCTCCCACCACCACCATTTCTGCACCACCAAAACCATCAATGTCCACCCCGATCGAGCCCTGGTGAGGATTCGACGACGCGGGGTTATGATGGATAGCCGAAAGGGGTGCAGTTGCCGACGTGAAGTGCGCACTGGAAGGCAAGATTGTCGCACAATGGGCATATCGTCCCTGGGGCGAGTCGGAGGCAGGGACTCGAGTCCATGTTCGCGAAGGGACATCGAATATGTGTATATCAGACATCACCACCACCTCTGGCTGCGCCTCCTGCCCCGTAGAGCCATTGGGTGTGGTATCCTTGGGTGACATACCACCATAACACACCAGCTTATTGTCTCCAAGAGCACAGACACTGTGAAAATATCGCGGACGGGGAACATCACCGGTAGCATCGATCTTTGTCCAATGACGCCGGATCAGGTCCAGCTCATATATATCGGACGTCAATTGCGGGCGGCTCTTCGAGAGAACACGACCGCCAAACACGTAAAGCTTATCGCCTAATATAGTTGTAGTCGCACCTACCAATGGATGCGGTTCTCTTCCAGTTGTCCGGCGAACATTGCACACTAGACCTGACAGATTTATGGGGCCCGATGCCGAAGACGGCTGTTGTTGTCCAGGAGAGACACCAGAGCCTGCAAGATCCTCCCGATTCGAGTCCAGGTATCCCAGACTCGACTGGCTCCGGGACATCATCTTGTTAATGGTCGGTTTTCAATGGTACAGTCAATATATCCCAATGCCTATCGCGTTACAGTGATTTCGCTCAAATTTGCCGGTCTCCAGGAAGTCGAACCGCTGTCGTAAGTAGAATGTATGTCATCCAATATTCGAACTTTTCAGAACAAGGTGAACAAGGTGAACAAGGTGTCAAACGAATAGGGTATCATAACACTCGTAAAGCGCAAACAGAAGTAGTAAGAAAAGAGTTATCGTTCAAATGACCGTCTGGGCCCCGGGGCAAGCGAAGGGTAGATCGAAGGTGGAAATAAATCGTAATCGTCGCGATCGGTTTGCTCAGATCAGGGGCCGGGCGGGAGACGTGATGGGACCACTGGTGGATTCTCTTTCCCCGCGGCTACCAACCCAGAACGCTCCGTCGTTGAGGAGCAGAGTCAAGCCTCCGGAACACAGATACGACTTCTGAACGCTTTTCGGGTTGGCTGCAAAGGGGGTCCTCCAGTGAAGTCCGCCGTATGCAGAGAAGGTTTTTGTTTCCGAACGGTGAAGAGAGAGACGAGACGAACGGAGGAAGTGCGGGCTTCAAGGCGGTCTCCGAGAGAAAAGTGGTTCCAGGCACACTACGAAAGTGGAGCTGACTCGGCGATTTAGATTTTATCCCTTTCAAAGTTGAAAGTCAATCTTTTTGACAGGCGACACTAGAAGCATAAAGAACAATTAGAAACAATTAGCGACGGAGGATCGATATGGGTAGTCTTGGTGCCAACACAGCTTCACTCACTCACTCATTTAGCCGTATTCATAAATCCCGACCCCACTACTAGTTATCAATTCCCATACATGACCTTTTGGACTCGATGCTGGTTTTCCCCCCTTTCGCGCACAACCCCCCCCCGGGAAAAGGGTATGGGTTGAACAGGGTGTTTGAAATCGCGGCCTCTTCACACGCAATCTGTTTTTATTGTGCCAATAATGATGTGAGAATAAGAAATAAGAATAACCTGTCTCTCTGCTTCTCTTCTCAAGATTGCTTATAAACCTGAAGAGGTACGGTGATCGGAGGATATCTGGCGGACCAAACACGCTAAGATCTGACAAGTGGTCAGACGAACCTCTTCGCTCTATCTCATCGCTCAGTCATACAGAAGGTGAACGACAGAGGGGTTGAACAAAGAAGGGGAAGTCGCCCGTCCACATTACCGCAAGACTTGCATGGGTCCAATCAACGGCCACACATCCTGGGCAAAGGAAATCGTAAAGTATGGCATGTGTGTAGTAAAGTAGTAGGGATGGATAGATGGGGACATATACGAGTGGTCATTTACCTCACCTGCTCGAGGCAGACAGGTGTAACTGTTTCCTGGCAGTGTTACTATATTTACTCAGCGGTTCGCTTTGTATAGTCCTATCTCGTCTTTTGATTGACTGGTTCTTTATGCAGTCTTATGCAGGATGACATCGATTGCAGAATGGTTCTTCGCCCTTTCTCGCCCCATGGGGCGCAAACTTAATACCATCCTTTTTATTCATATATCAATATGTCTGTCGTCAGGACAGTGGAGCATCCATATCCCCTAAGCAGGAACAATAATCACTCTGCTCATACTTCCTGCAAGGGGTACACAAACCACAAGACTCTTTACAGGTGGTCGATGATTGCACTAATTCCTTAGAACTGTCTACGCTGGGTTCGAAGAGTCCAACTGGTATCATAAGAGGTATCATATTATTAGAGATGCTAAGCCGTGACTGTCATACTCTTTTTCATGAAAACAATCCCAATCATGTCCACGTCACAACTGGTTATTCCTCCTGGGAACAGCTAGCACGAAGTGGTTGAGTGGAAGACTGCGTCATAATTTACTCCTTCTTGTTGAGGTTGGTGAAACGCAGGTAACTAGTCAAGATAGATTAGCACCAATCTTCCTCTCAGCGGGGAGGGAAATACTCACGGCTTGACCTGGCGGATTTCACCGAACTTCTTCTGAGCATCCTCGGTGGAGACAGGAGGGGGGATGACAACATCATCGCCGGGGAGCCAGTTAATGGGGGTGGTGACACCGTGCTTGTCAGTGGTCTGAAGAGCATCGACAACACGGAGAACCTCAGCGGTGTTACGGCCGGTAGAAGCAGGGTAGGACATGATCAGACGGATCTTCTTGTTGGGGTCAATGATGAAGACAGAGCGGATGGTGAGAGCGAGACCTGCAATGATTGCTTAGCGATTTGAAACACCATTCGGCTTGTGAGAGCTACAACGTACCCTTGGAGTCAACGTTGGTGGTGTCCTGGTAGTCAACCATGTCATAGGCATAGGCGACCTTGCGCTCGGGGTCGGCAATGATGGGGAAGGTCAGCTTGGAGCCGGTAACCTCATCGATATCCTTGATCCAGAGCTTGTGGGAGTCGGTGCCGTTGGCGCTCAGACCGATCAGCTTAACTCCACGAGCAGTGAACTCGGGCTCAAGCTTGGCGAAAGCGCCCAGCTCAGTGGTGCAGATGGGGGTGAAGTCATCGGGGTGAGAGAAAAGGATGGTCCAGCTGTTGCCAATGTAATCGTGGAAGGAGATGGGGCCGTTGGAGGTGTCAGCGTCGAAGTTGGGGGCAGTAGAGCCGAGACGGATGCTATAGTCAATTGCCGTGTCAGTCTCCAATTCAGTCCATGTTGACGGTCCTTAAGTCACCCAGGAGGAATCGAAAGCGATGACAGCAAGGTTACTTACGGAGCAGCACGTTCCTGAGCCATTGTGAAAGAGTAAAGGGAGGTATCCAAGTAAGGAAGAGAGTGTGATTAGATGGTAAGGATGATGAGCAGGGACGAGAGAAGATGGAGAATGGAGAGGGGGGGAAAGGAGACCTTGAAATAGTTTTGGCGGCGGGGAAGTACCAAGGTGAAGGGATGTACCTTTTCCGGGTCCCAGACTCCAGTCTACTACTACTATAGAGGTAACCGCCTAAGAGGTACCCTCAGTGACCAGTCAGCCCTTCAGCTTCTCGACCCCCTCCAGATCTTCCCCTCGATAGATGTTCGGCGAATGACCGTCTCGTCGCTGTTCCTCCTCCAAATCACGCAATTGACCACCGCCCGCGGGGCAGAATGATCCCCATTGGCCATTCATGAGCTCATTCTGTGGTGGGCTGTTTAGCGCATCCCTTTTCGGAAGTGCCCCACGATGTAGTTAACGACATTATGTCGGGGTTCATGAAGATATCGGATTCTGTGACTACTAGTGACAAAAGTTAGTGTAGAACTAACAAGCATGGGATACGACTACATCTTCCAGGAACCAATGATATGGCTGGACTTGTAGATGAATTGTCCTGTCTAACATTGCAGTGATTTTCTTAGTTAAAAAAATGTAATAGCAAGGAGTACAATGGTGAGAGTCCAGACCATCATCCGACTTTACCTCTACGCTGTACCTCCCTATTGGACACTTAATGCTTCAAATCCCATGCGCTGTACTAAAAGATCAATTGGTATCTCTCGAGGTCACCTCCCCCCTTCTTTCCAAAAGTCTTGAGTACCCTTCCTTGGCTATATCCAAACATCCGAGTTTATCGGCCGACTACTGACAAGAAAAGAATAGTTCGGCCGACAATGCCCATCACTAGGGCCAATGGACACTGTGAAAGATGGCGCAATTCCGCACATCACCTCCCGTCATATGCCCGATAACTTCGCAAGTGATAAGCCGAGATGTTGCACTAGCACTGGTGGAAAGGAACCCGAGATGAAGGAGACGTTCCCTCTGGACAATTTAAGTACGTAGTACGTACATACTACACAGTATTAGTTGAATCCCGAGGGACCCCTGACCGGCACTTTGGAAAGCTCGGTAACTAAACTTAGATTGAGTGAGGACCCACCCTGCTCTATACTACTACTAGTACTATGTCATGATCAGGGTGGTCTTATATGCAATAGTGCTAACGTCATAACGTTTGTTTATTATGGGTTGGAAAGTGATTAATGTCTGTCGGACAAGAATTTCAAGCCAGGCCGATATTTTGGAGCCTTTTCAATTGAGTGCCGGGTCAGGTAACGTAGCCAGACTTTCCAGAAACCTAATGTTGATTCATGATTTCCTAGAGGCTGTTTAGCAATAGACTGATGAAGCTGAATATACTGGTCTCATACACTTGCAAATTTACTTCTGGCACGGATTTGAGGTCCATAGAATACTAGGACCCAGGGCACAATTGTCAGCAGAACACCCTGTTGGCGTTAGTCTGAGTAATGGATTAGAGGAATTTCTTGCTTACAATCCCCCCGAGAAGACTGGAGGCTGCTGGATAGCCCAGGTTATTGAACATTGCATTGGTAACCAGCGGGAATACGGCCCCCATAACATTTCGACCTAAAGGCCGTCAGCATCACAGAGCTGCTATCGGGGGTACAAGTGCGACAAACAGAATGACTGCGCAGCAATCGCTGAACTAGCGTATCGATGATAAGTATCAGCAAGGTAGTTGAAGGTGGCCAAGTAGATGGAGAAAATGCCTATCGTCGAGCATCCCACAGCAATCGTCGGCACAATCCACGGGACCGAGGAAAATGATGTCCATCCAAACCAGAAGAGACCGATTGGCAGCAAAATCGACTCAACGCATGTGAAATACAAACGCCCTTCTGGAGTGCTCGACATCTTGCCAACCCGCATAGCGAACTTCTCCTGGTAGATGCTCAAAGGGGTCGCCAGCAGCGCACCGATAGATACCGCCGCAAAAACTGCCCCAGTCTGCTCCACATTGAAATGGTAGTTGGTCGAAAAGACGATTGGGATCGCAATGAACTGGAGATACAGGACTGCCCAACTGAAAGAGACCCAGAGTGAAAAGAAGAAAACCACAGGTTCGGTGATCAGAAGGTCTTGATGGAGCGGTCAGCTATGCTTCCTGCCGATACCACCTATTGGAAAAAGAACGTCTCCCACTTACGGAACGGCCTAAAGCAGGATATGGTGATCATCTTGGTTATACTCTCGCGCTCTTCATCGCTTTTTACCTTCCACCGTATGCGTCTGGCCTGTTGTTTTTCCTTTAAGTCGTCGTCTGAGCAGAATATAACGCCAACATAACCTGCGCCTTCCAGTGTCTCGTAATACTTATTGAGGACTTTAGCTTTTCGGCTTAAAAGCACGCTCCCCCGGGTTTCGTTGAGAAAGACAAAGAGGACAAGCATTAACACTGCAGAAGCGATAGCTTGGGAGTAGTGGATCCAACGCCAATTGGCGCGGTAATCAATGAAACCAGGGATGAGCGGCCCCAAGCCCGTCCCAAAGAGAACTGCGCCAGAGAAGCACGACATGGGGACATTGCGGTGTTCAGCATGGTATATATCACTAATGACGCCGCCCACCATAGTCGAAAAGGTAGCTACAGTGGATAACCCGTGTCAACCTGAACTGTAGTACAGCACGAGGGGTGCAAAACAAGACAACTTACATCCGCCAACACCAAGAAAGAACCTTGCCACAAGCATGCCAGCAAAAGACTCCGTGGCACCGCATCCGATCAAGCACACTATCAACCATAGATATTAGTTCTGGTTTCTCCATTGATCGAGCTGTGTGAGGCAAGGGAGCTGACCGGTAAAAACTAGACCGCTAGACACAAAGATAGGTCGCCTCCCATTAATTTCCGAGAAAGGTGCCAGCACCATGGGAGCGATAGCGAAACCTAAAGTATACAGAGAAATCCCCAGATTATATACAACCCTGCTCACATTCCACTTGGCCGTCAACTCATCAGCTGGAGGGGTATACGATCCTGCAGCGTAAGCCGACATGGCTGTCACACAGCACGAAATAATTGTGACGACGGTCTTGCGGGATTCTGCCCACAAGAAGGGTGAAGCGTACTTTGTGAGATTGGGGCATGGTGGTGGAGACGATTGTCCCGGCTGCGGGGAAGAGGTGCCCACGGGGTGTGGCAAGGTGGTGTCAAAGTTGAGATAGAGATATTCAACATCTTGACCAGAATCTGGTGTGTTGCTTATTTGCTTTTTATGCTGCTGTCCCTCTCGATCTCCATGTTTCTTATTGTATTCCAGCGCTTCAATGCTTTCTGGGGTCTGATCTGACTGCTGATTGGGTGCGGTATGCATCTTGGTTTCTCCAGACCTACCGTCCGCTGGGTCTCAGCCGAAATCTATCCAGCACATGTGGGGAAGTGTAAGACAATAAATATGCTTTCTATTAGCAAAGGAACAAAAACAAGATAAATTCATGAACATTAATAAGGCGTCGATCGGACCCACGAGCAAGTGACTCAATGGTTTTTAAGTCTTGCGAATGGAAAGTTAATGCAAGCTGAGGTGGAGAACGGGGGATCTACGTACTTTGGAAGTATCCCGGCGTTATCGCCGATGATTTGACTTGTAGAGTATGTCTTTCTCTAGCTTGTTGCTGGTTCATCCAAGTCTATTATCGTGTTATTTCAATCTTTTTTGTTTTGTTTTGTTTTGCTTTGCTTTGCTTTGCTTCTCGTTCTTTGAAATCAACTGTAGTTCATGCGCTGTTCAAGTAAGATCTCGAATACAGTGGGATTCCCGTGACCCAAATGTATCAGAGTTGCATGCGAGAAATGTTCAAATCCCGCCAACCGGAGATGAGCTCTTCCTCCCCGATGGTTGCATCCGGAAATTTCAGAGTAGTTTGACTGGCTATCCGAGGTTATGCCATAACGTTTGTTCCCATAATTCCAAGGTTTAGATAATCTATCAGTCTGCATATTTTATATGTACATCTACTATATACCTTGCTTGCATGTATACAATAGTTATGTGATCCTATCGATGAAGGGTATTGGAACAAAGGCTCCTCTGCGCCCGGGTCTCTAGAGAAACATCACGTAGAGAATTAACTATACTCCGTCCAGGTCGGATACTATCATACCTACTATAGGACTAGCCCCGTAGTATCCTTCAAGGCGGCACCACGTGACCATGATCGGCTCGGGTCCACTGGGGCCGGCTCGCGTCCAGTCCAGTCGAGCTTGTCCCCGTCCCCCGGGCGCAAAACAAAGCTTCAACTCATCTTGTTCAAGTGCATGCCAGCGGTCCCTGCCTAGCTTTTCAGGTTTCTTCGTCACCCCCATTAGGTGAGAAGGTCTCCCCCCCAATCTTCCTTCCCATCAGGATTGAATCTGTGGGATAATTATTTGACCGCGACCGACAGCGGACTGACCAACACCAACACCAATACTAACACTAACACAGGTTCCCTTAGGCGCGTCTGGATCGCCGTGTCTCCCTCATCTCTCCTCCCCGCCTCCTGTCCTTTTACTGGTTGGCTTACATTGTCTCTCCTTCTCTTATCGAATCTGCCTTTTGTTTTGATTTCCCATTTTTGATTTCTCCTCACACCCCCTCACATCCTATCCCTCTATCACGCAGACTTCTTCACCCATGACAACAATGCCAGTCAAGAAGCGCAAGTCCGAAGGCGCGCCAGCGGCCGAAGAAAGCCATTCCCCCAAAAGAGTGCGTATGTCCGACATGCATCGCGGAATTTTATTTTTCTCTTTCGCGTTTTTCGGAGATCGACAGGTCCGACGTGAGGCGCGTCATGCGAATGCTCATCATAAAAGGCAATTCGCGACCGCCGCTCATTGACGCCCCATTCATTGTTCCCGCATTGGATTTCCCCCTTCGTAACACAAGACAACTTTCCGTTTGATGAAATATAAAATTCCGAGCAAGGGCGCGATTCATCAAGTGCCAATTCAGATAACGGGAACTAATGTCATCGTCTCCGCAGGCTGCTGTCCCTGATCCAGCTACTGGAGAGAAAAGGAAGAGAGGTCGTCCTCGCAAGTACCCTGAAGGAAGTGGCCCCAAGCCTTCCCCGGGTCCTAAAAGGGGCCGGGGTCGTCCCCGCAAGGACCCGTCTGCCAGTACGTAGTTCCCCTATTATCTACCCCTTCTTCGCATCCTCTAATCTCAGCTGCAATTGAGGTGCCCCGAGAGAAGGATTCGCTAACGTACCTTAAGGCACTCCCACGAAACCGAGTACTCCCAAGGAGGGCAAGCGGCCAGTCGGAAGGCCTAGGAAGTATCCAGCTCAGAATGGGGCAGACACACCGACAGACAGACCCACGCAACCGAAATCAGAATCAGCAGATGCCAAAGCCGACGATGAGGTGGATGAAGACGATTCCGGTCGCTCGTATTGGTTGATGAAAGCAGAGCCCGAGTCGCGCTTAGAGAAGGGGGTTGATGTTAAGTTCTCCATCGATGACTTGGCCTCGCGTAGCAAGCCGGAACCCTGGGATGGTGCGTGATGTATCCCTATCATACAGCCAAGTCAATGCTAACCTTCTGCAAGGTGTGCGGAACCCTGCTGGTAAGGACGGCCAGTAAGCTAGCGATGTACGAGAGCACAAGCTTACGATGAGTAGCAAGGAATCACATGAGAGAGATGAAGAAGGGCGACTACGCTTTCTTTTACCACTCCAACTGCAAAGTGCCCGGAGTTGCGGGTTTTATGGAGATTGTACAAGAACATACACCAGACGGTCCGTCTCAATTCTGCATATTCCCCAATCCCCGGCGCGATGACTAACGGAAAATCACCCCAGAATCTGCCTTTGACCCTGCACACCCGTACTACGACGAGAAATCTAGACGAGAAGACCCCAAATGGGACGTGGTCCACGTTGAGTTCCGACGCAAGTTCCAGAACTTCGTCTCATTGAACGACCTCAAAGCTCATGCAAAAGCGGGAGATCCGCTCGAGGGCCTTCAGGTCCTGAAACAATCCCGGCTCAGTGTTTCCCGCGTTACCAAGAAGGAATGGGACTTCATCCTCGGGTTAGCCAAGGAAAAAGAGTCATCATCATCGGAGGCAGAGAGCGCAGAAGAAACCAGCGAGTAGAGGAAGATACGAAATTTCTTTTTCATTTTCATGTCATTTCATATTTCTTTTCCCCACTTCCTCCAAAGAGACTCTGGAGTGAGTCTCAAAGCTCTCCACGGGCGTCTTTGTTTCCTTGTGTACAATGAACCGGGTTCTTGTCTATTTCGAGGTGTTCCAATAATGTGAATGGAATTTTGAATGATCACCTACTGAGCACGGGTCCAGATTTTGGACGAGACGGCATCGCCTGCCATTATCAGGTTTTCCCTGGTACAGAACTTTCCTCTCAACCTAGCTGTGTCATTCCTACCCAAACTGTAGATGATTTATAGGCCCAGACTTTTAACGCGTTGGCAAGGCAAATATTTAGGAAGCAGTATCTATGAGATCGGCAGTCGAACGGTGGGAAGCTGATTGGAGAAGAGTGCTCTGGAACGAAGGACCGCGGGGAGGGGAAGGCGGGGAATGGCTTGGTAAGTTAGAAGTCTATCAGGGATATAGATGCACGGTGATGTGTGAGATGAGCGGATCCATGGGTCGGTGGCCGCGGACGGCGAAGAGAAGAGTGGGGTTGGCTGTTTGATCTCAACTGGGGGGTTTCCAGTTCATGACGAGAGGATCCATTTTTTTCTGAATGCTGATTATGAATCGCATCGCAAACAGCTTGGAATACGGGGTGGTTTGATTGGGGATCCAGAAAAGAGAAAAGTATTCTAGAACGTAAGGCTTTCCTGGGAAGAGAAAGTGTATCCGATATCCACCGATTAGTGGGCAAGTCACCTGCCATCTCATTGGATCTCCAGTTTATCTCTGGCGGGGGAGCTCCAACAACAACTACTTTACCTGCATCTATGCTGCAAGAAGAATCCCTGAACGCTCGTTAGTATCCTATATTTTTATATAAAGTCCCCTCCCTCGCCTCGCTACCCTTCTCTTCTCTTCTCTTCTTCTTTCTTTTCTCTCTATATTAATGCCCCTGTGTCCCTCTCCACTCTTAACCCGCCTGTGCCTGCGTGGTCCTCCTCTCGTCAAGCTCCCTTCATCCTCCTCTGTTCCTCGTCGACTCTTTCACAGCTCCCCAATCATCATGTCGGACGTCACAGTACAGTTGACGGCCCCCAATGGGCGTAAGTACTCTCAGCCCATTGGTCTTTTCATCAACAACGAGTTTGTTCCGTCCAAATCGGGCGAGAAGTTTGCCACCATCAACCCTGCGTAAGTGACCTTGTCCAGTCGAACCGGACGCCATGTCCCGTGATCCAAAAGCAACTAAAATTAACCAGTTCGCAGAGATGAGAAAGAGATTACTTCCGTGTATGCTGCAGGCGAGGAAGATATTGACATCGCCGTCAAGGCTGCCCGCAAGGCATTCAGGGATCCATCATGGAAGCTACTTCCACCAACGGATCGGGGTGCTTTGATGTTGAAGCTGGCAGATCTTATTGAACAGCACAAGGAAACCCTTGCCACCATTGAAACATGGGACAACGGTATGTGTCCTCAATCTATCGGTCGAGTTTCTGCGTTTGTCCTTGACTGACCCTGTCTAGGCAAGCCTTACTCTGTCTCCTTGAGTTCGGACTTGGGTGAGGTCATCAACACCCTTCGTTATTATGCTGGCTGGGCCGACAAGGTTCATGGCCAAACCATTAGCACCACGCCGGCCAAGCTGGCCTACACTCTTCGCCAGCCAATTGGTGTAGTGGGCCAGATCATCCCATGGAACTTTCCCCTTGCTATGGCTGCATGGAAACTTGGCCCTGCACTGGCTTGCGGTAATACCATTGTCATGAAGCCAGCCGAGCAGACACCCCTCAGTATCCTCTACCTCGCCACGCTCATCAAGGAAGCCGGATTCCCCCCTGGAGTGATCAACATCGTCAACGGCCTCGGAAGAGTTGCCGGCAGCGCCCTGGTGACCCACTCTGATGTCGATAAGGTTGCCTTTACTGGCTCCACCTTGACCGGCCGAGAGGTCATGAAGTTGGCCGCCGGTACCTTGAAAAACATCACTCTTGAAACCGGCGGCAAATCTCCTCTAGTTGTATTTGGCGACGCAGATATTGAGCAGGCTGCTAAATGGGCGCATACGGGCATCATGTACAACCAAGGACAGGTCTGCACGGCAACTTCACGTATCCTGGTCCACGAATCGGTCTATGACCAGTTCATCGAGCTTTTCAAGCAGGAAGTGGCCTCGGTCAGCAAAGTTGGTGATCCCTTCGCCGATGACACCTTCCAGGGCCCTCAGGTCACCAAGGCGCAGTACGACCGAGTCCTTTCGTACATTGAGACCGGCAAATCCGAAGGAGCAACTCTCGTCGCTGGCGGCGAGCCATACAAGAACGTCGGCGACGGCAAGGGTTTCTTCATCGCACCAACCATCTTCACGAACGTCAAGGACAACATGCGTATCTATCGCGAGGAGGTCTTCGGCCCGTTCGTTGTGATTTCCAGCTTCACCGCAGAGGACGAGGCCGTGACTCGCGCCAACGACACGACATACGGACTGGGTGCAGCCATTTTCACCAAAGATATTGAGCGGGCGCACCGCGTGGCCTCTGAGATCGAAGCGGGCATGGTCTGGATTAACAGCAGCAACGACAGCGACTTCCGCGTTCCCTTCGGCGGCATTAAGCAGAGCGGTATCGGCCGTGAGCTCGGTGAGGCCGGATTGGAGGCATACTCGCAGGTGAAGGCCATTCACGTCAACCTCGGGTCCAAGCTGTAATGCAATGCATGGCAAGCTCATTGATGATGTGTAATGTTTGTATATAGGATAGTCAGATGCCAGTTGGGTCGAGAATTACAAAGATAGGAAGCTTATCCAGCAAGCAACCATGCAGGTAATCCACCAACGAGAGACAACATACCAGTAAAACACACCCTGCACATAATACTCAAAACCAAGGAACCAACCCAGAGTACGTGGTATACCCACATTGGACCCAACAAAAACCACAACCACAACCACCTACATCAAATCTAAACCCTACCCGACAAACTCTCCTCTCACTCGCCATACAATAGGTACATCACAAACAACGCTCCCACCTGAATCACACACAGACACACCCACATAAACACCCACATACGTACATATATACATACACGAGAACAAGAGCAACCCAAACCAGACCCCCACACTAACACCCCATAACAAGCCACCACGATTCGCCACACCTCAACATACATACATAGTACATGCTCCTCCCCAAGCAAGGAATGCACATCATGCCGAACCACCTAACAGGGCATTCATACATACAGCTCAACTTAATCTAGATATCCCATCGCACTATCCGTACATACAGTTTGCATTCCCACTTTGAGACCCACAGATATGAGGAACACCGAACACAGTCCACTTAGGATGGGATATATAACGTATAGATTTGCTTATTCACTGTATTACCTGATATAGTTCCTGGTGGGGGTAATTTACTAAAGGGGGGCGGGTATGCGTGGGGATGATCGGTGTTCTGATGTTTTGTGGGAGGCAGAGAGATTAATTGGATTATCTGACTACTTGGATATCTGTTTAGTTAAATAATTATACACTATATAATTAACACATAGGAGGGAGGATGCTTAATATATTGATTACACTCGGAGGAAGAAGCACAAAGGACAAGACCACAGAAGTTCCAGATACTGATTGGATTTGTACTAAACATATACTTTTAATATATATACTACTACATACACATAACATGCATGATCACAGGTAGATACATCATCTACTAACCCAACCCTTGTTATACATCTCCAGATCAAGTTTACTAGTTAGTTAGTACCCAATGATAATGAATGTATGGATCTGCATCTACAGTTAGATCCATATACGCGTGACCTTTTAACAGTGACTCTCGTATATTCTCGGTGAGTGATGATATATCGGCGTTGTGTCCAACGAGAGGATGTTGGTTGGGTTTGACCAGGTTGAGATGGTAACACTAACACTAACGCATCTCTTCTTTCGAGTAAGGATAGTAGGTATATGAGGAGGTGAGTTGCGTGGTACGGTGAAGGAAATGGAATAAAGAAAGGAGGAAGTATTTGATGCTTGACAGACTTTTGAATGTATTGAAACTACTTGCTCTTACTTCTATGTAAGTGGCCACGTGAGATGTGTTGGTACCCGATGTCGATCTTGGGATGTACTCCGTACTTGGGGGTGAGGGTTTACATACGAAGTGGTTTTTTTCCTTTTTTTTTTTTTTGAGGTTTGAGGGTAGATTTGAGTAGGAAGGGGTGTAACTTAGATATTTCTTTTTATTAGGGTTGTAGTGATATAGATATAGATGTGATGTATATAAGATGTAGTTATCATGGAGAGGTGGGAGGGAGGTAGTACTACTACAGAGTACTTACGGTACATGCGGGATGCCCAAGTATAGATCTCACATAACCCGGTAGAATGCAATGCAGGGTCAGCAACGTAATTTGATTTATTTGCGACCCATCTCCCTGCAAACAACATAGCATACATCATTTGGTACCCACTATGACCAGCTTACTTCATATCCACCGTGGTATACATGGAAACGGAAGTCAAAACGAGACACACAGGACGAACAACTCAACACCTACACGTCGGAATCCCAATCAGAGACACCCACCTCGCTCCAAACAACGAATGCATACACACCTAAGCCAAATGCACGACAACAATCACTACCACCTCACCCTCAAACGTTCTGTTCCTCGGGACAGGGACAGGGACAGGGACAGGTCAGTCAGGTAGTACTCTCCCTCGGTACCTAATAAGGACCTAAACCGAAGGGAGGTAGTGGAATGAGAAATTACTGGAGCACTAGCCAATCCACAGCCACATGGACGAAAGGATCCATTCAGAGGAAGAAAGCAGACAGAGAAAAAGAGAGGAAAATCGCGGCAATCAGAAAATACCCCGCCAATGACAAAAAGCCAAGCGTTGGAATTTTGATGCTGCGGTGTGGTTGGCCCGTTGGTTGGGTTTCTTGAGGTGTCTGTCGTGGCAGCTTTGGAGTGGGATGCTTTCTTTTAGCTGCAGCATGCAGCAATCCTTATTTGGATTTGCTTTTTGGTTGGGCTGCGTAGTAGGGGTTTTGGCTTCTTTATTTGCTGGGAAGGTCCATCTTGCCTACACCAGTGGACGGACTTCATGGCGGTGATTCGATCGTGGAAGAGAGGGGGTGTGGGATCTCATTCTTATCTGGCAACGGATTTCATGCAGTAGGGGGAAACAAAAAAAAAAAAAAAAAAA